TGGTAGGCTAGCCTATTTTTTACTGAGTTACCCTCTCGTAGGGTGATCTCGGACACTCGTACTTGTAATACTCTCCATTGTAACTCTCTCCCAATAATACAATATTAACCTTTATCAAAAAAAAATAATGAGCCAAAGAAAAGGAAGGGTTTTTAAAGAATGCCTAGTGTTATGACTGCAACAAATATGTGCAAGTTGCGAAGCATTGTAGAGCACCCAAGAATACGAATCCCAAAGGCGATGGGGAGCATGCTTGTGTAGCCTTTCAGACCATGCTAGCTTACCCTAAGGTAGGGTCATGGTACTTTTACTCAAGGTCCGTTGCCGATGTGTCAAACACTAAGGATGGGCATAAAAATTTTAAGCCTGTTGCCTCTGGGGGTCAGTATATAATTTGGTGGAAATCCGAAGACTGAAATTCTAGGTATTGGAGATTTTGTCCTTCAACTTGGTCCTAAAGCAAACGCTTTATGCTCTTGAGATGAGGAAGAGTTTGGTTTCGGTTGCTAGATTGGCTATGGCAGGCTACTCCACCATTTTTATTAGTAATAAGGTGGAGGTGAAATATGGGAATAAATTAGTCATGAATGGTCTTGTAGATGTTTTCTTTTCAGTTGCAATAATGAATTTCATTTCTTAAATCTTGTGTTATAATAATAACAACGATGATGCATATATATGGCACATGAGGCTAAGGCCCATAAATCCTAAAAAGATGGAGAGATTAAAGAAAGAAGGCTTATTGAAAAATCTAAATGGAGACTTAACCAGAATCTGTGAATCATGTGTTCAAGGCAAGCTGGTTAAGAAATCCTATGCGAAAGTTCATAGAGATATGCGCTTATTAGAAGTTGTCCATAGTGATAATTATGGATTTATGAATGTGGCTACACAAGAGGTACTCTATCACTTTTATTGATGGTCACTCTTGTTATGGCCACGTCTGTGTTAAGTTAAAAGTTTGAAGCCCTAGACCGTTTCAAAGAGTATATAGCCAAGGTAGAAACCCAAACAATCCTGAATATTGAAGTCCCTAGATGTGATAAGGGTGGAGAATATTCCTCACGGCTATTTAAAGAATTCTGTGCTGAGCATGGTATTATAAATCAATATAGTACACTTCTCAGCAAAATGGGATAGCTGAGAGATGGATCAGGACATTAATGAAAATGGTGAGGAGCATGATGGGACATGCTAATTCTCCCTAGAGTTTTTAGGAGAAGCTGTTTTGACCGCTAACTATATCCTTAATCAGACTCCCACAAAAGCTGTTCCATTAACTCCTCATGGGATTTTCACTTGTCGTGCTTCGTCCCTTGATCACCTCAGAGTGTGGGGATGCTCAGCCCATGTCCTAATACCCCATCAAAATAAGACAATGAGATCCTAAAACTGTTAAGTCCATATTCGTAGGATATCCACCACATAGTAAGGGATACTGTTTCTATGATCGTGGCACAAGTGTCCTCGAGAGTAGTTTTCCTTGAGGAAGAGTTCCTTAAGGGTCATGCCACTTAGATTAAGCTGCGTTTTATGAGATAGAAAGTGACACGAGTCAGGCCCTAGATCCCAAACCACCACGTCCTAGGAGAAGTAACTAAATTAGAAGAAAACTAGAGTTTTCACCTACCTAGGATAATATTATGAGAGAATTGAAGAAGAGTCCCTGCATGAACCCGGTGCCTACCAAGAAGCTATAACCTGTCATGGAAAGGCATAATGGGAAGAAGCCATGATTGATGACTTTAACTTGATTAAACAAAAACAGTTAACGTTATAAAAAAAAAAAAAACTTGATTAAACAAAAAGTGTTTGGGAACTAATGAAACGACCTCCTGATAGAAAACTCTTAGGCTACAAGTGGATATATTAGAAGAAATTAAACTCAGAAGGGAAGTTGGAGAAATACAGAGTCAGATTAGTTCCTAAGGGGTTTACCCAGAAATAAGGAATAGATTATGATGAGACCTTCTCCCTTGTAGCAAAATTCCCCACCATTAAAATCCTAATAGCCATAGCAGCGCATTTCGACTTCGAACATCACCAGATGGATGGTAAGACTGTATTTTTGAATGGGGAGCTCGAAAAAGAAATTTATATGAAACAACCAGAGAGCTTCATAGAATAGGGAAAAGAAAACCTAGTATGTAAACTCAATAAGTCCCTTTATGGCTTTAAACAACCATCAAGGCAATGGTACATTAAGTTTTAGGAGACCTTGTCATCAGTTGGTTTGGTGCCTAACCAGGTGGATTACTGTGTATATGTTAAGTTCAGTGGAAGTGACATTTTCATCTCTTTATATGTGGATGACATGTTAATAGTTTGATGTGTCTCGTATGGGAGACAAAACCTTTCTTGTCACAACATTTTGATATGAAGTATCTTGGAGAAGCATTATATATTTTGGGACTCAAAATTACTCGAAACAAAAAAGAGAGAACTATTCAATTATCTCAAGAGACATATTGTAAGAAAATTATTGAAAGATTTGAAATGGAAAATTGCCGATCCATATTAACCCCCATTGATAAGAAGACCAAGCTTAAGCTAGCCATGTATCCCATTACTCCAGAAGAAAAGGAAGAAGCCATGCAGAGAATTCCATGCAGAAGTGCTGTTGGGTCACTAATGTATGCCATTTTTGGGACAAGACTAGATTCTTTTGCCATGAGTTTGATTAGTAGGTTCCATGCATGGAGCATTGGAGCGCTGTCAAAAGAGTATTGCGATATTTGAAGGGAACAATTAGTTACGCACTCATTTATGGAAGAGGCTCGGATATACATATACAAGGATATTCAGATGCGGACTATCAAGGCAATCCAATGAGATGAAGTCACATCCAAATATATCTTCACACTTGAAAGTGAGCTGTTTCTTGGTGCTCAAAGAAACAAATATTGTTGCACTCTTGATTGAGTGAGAGTATGTGTTTTGTTGCCTTGTGGCTAAAGAAGCAGTCTAGTTGAAGAAGTTCCTAAATCAACTTAGATTTGATCCAGTGAAGTGCCGTGTGTTATAATCTTCTGCGACAACCAGGCAGCTATTTGTGTGACAAAAGAGCCCATGTTTGACAAGAGATCGAAGCATATAAAATCGTGTTATTACCCCATTTGTAATGAGATCGGAGCAGGAGAGACTTAGATTGTTTATCTCCCGATAGAGGTTAAGTTAGCAGATCCTTTGACGAAAGGAATTGTGGCAAAGTTTTTACCAAACATGCACATGGGATGGGCTTGAGAGAAACTTGAAGGGAGTGATTATACAGCCTCCAAAGGCCAAGTGGGAGATGTTGAGTTTTGTAGCCTTTAAAGGCCTATAGAGCTTGTAAAATGATAACTTTGTAGTGGAATATGTACTACAGTGGGAGTGCGTGTATTGATTAGCCATGGGTTGGGCGATTTATGGCCATGGTTATGTCCAAAACCCTTACCCTTGGGCATGTGGAACTACAAAGAAGGGCTTACAATGGGTCCTTCCTTGTTGAGGTCGGAGAGATGCCCATAGATGATGTTTGTAGGCCAGGAAAACTTTGTGGTCTTCTGTGTACAATTGATGGTCTGTGAGAGCAAGAGCCATAGCCTCAATAACCTTCTGCACGACATGTACACATGACAACCACATTGCAAGGAAGCAGCCCTAAAGAGAGATGCATGTACATGTACATAAAGAAAGCCCCTTTTGTTTTGTGGTGACAAGTACGATACTTGCTCTTAACGGGGGGATTGAAATCCACATTCCATGATTGTGGTCCCACTGGTTATTGTCCAATTTTGACAAAGGCAATCATGAGCCCCTGCATAGAGGTTGTAGGTCATGGGTCTTTTTTGGGTTGGATAAGAGAACGATAGTGAATCATGGTTCTTGGGTCAAGTGGAGTGCTCTTATTGTTGCTAATTTTGACCCATTAATATCAGCCCATTTCAAAAATATTTTATTTTGGTATTAGAAGTGTTTTATGGTTTTTAAAAACTTTTTCAGAATTGTAAAAATTTATTTTTCTAGTAAAAATTCATTAAAAAGGGTTTTTTTGAAATTTTCAGAACTTGAAAGGACACATGTGGGGACCAAGGATCCAGCCCCCAGATGTGTGTTCCACCCATATGTGGAACGTGTGGCCTTGTGGAGCCCATATAATCCTCATAGGGTGGCACGCCCAAATTTTTTATGTGCCACTTTTAGTTGATAGTTTTAGTTAGTTAGAAATATTATAAATTGAAAGGATTTGATTCGCATTCAAATGAGAGTTTTGTTTTTTAAAGATTATCTTTGACTTCATATATTGGTTGGAAGATCTAGATTATGCTAAAAGTGGTTATTATTTAAATTTAAATAAAAGTTGGAATATGTCAAATTATAATGGGATAAGGTTCCTATTTTCCACCCAAAATCATGATGGCTGATTTGTGGGTTTTCCTATATAACCTAATGGTCAAGTTAGATCTATTTAAACAAGATTTGAGTGTCTTATATCCATGAACCAGTTTCTTTAGATTCTTGCACCACAAAATGATGAAAAAATTCCCAATTTCACATTCCAATTCACATTGTTGATTTGGCTGATGCCAAATGGTTTTCTGGTTTTCCTAGTGAAGATGGATAAGTACTTCATTGGGATGGCACCATTAGAAGGACTTTTCTTCTATAGGTTGGAGTAAATAGAGACTTTTGCCAGTCGCCATTTTGTCCTCATTTCCTGAAGTTTCATCCCTTGCATTACACTAAAATTTCTTTTTGACGATCTTTCATTTTTGTGATATACTGAGTTAACTAGTTAACCATTGTATGCCTCTCATTTAGTTAGTTTTTCAGAAATAATCTATTTGCTTAAGTATCAGTGTTGTAAACCTCTTTCTTTTGTCTTTCTATTCTAATTTTCAAAGAGAGAGTGTGTACCATGGCAAATTTCCTATTTTGCTCTTTTATCTAATTATCTTAAATTTATTTGGAAATACTATCATTGTCGTAATTTGAATAATTGACTGATGTTTCTGCAGGCTCCTTGTTTTGTTTTTATTGATGAAATTGATGCCATTGCTGGTCGTCATGCAAGAAAGGATCCAAGAAGAGGAGCTACCTTTGAAGCTCTAATGTCCCAACTTGATGGAGAGTATGATAATTTTCTTGCTATTATTATTTACCTTTAATCATATGTGCTGGCAGTTATTTGGAGGTTAATTTCTAGGATGCATGTTAAGCTTATGCAAAAGCTATAAAGAAAGAAACACTTAGACAGTTATTGACATCAATTTCCTATGAGTAGATGGCGATTATGATCCTTTCTTTTTACTTTTCTTAGAAGATGTGGAACTAAAGACGTGAAATTTTCAATTAAAAAAAACCCCAAAAATATGAATAAAACTGTACGTGCTAGTGGCTTCAGAGCTCTTAGGATGCGTACACATCCAAAGGAATTCTCCTAGGATGAGGACTTTATGTTGATCCTCATTAAATTCAAATGGAATTAGTCTCAGCATGATTCTTCTTCAGATCATGGCAGGACAAACTTTATATTTGTCACTTGGGGGAAACTGAAGTGTCAGGATTAGAGCTCCTTAATAGTATATATTTGTGAGGAAAAAAGTGACTTTGGAAATATGCTTTCTTAAGGCTTTCGTTTAACATCGAATTTTAGTTCTTGTCTTCCTCTCTCTTTCCTAGGTTTCACTTTTCACTTCCTCTAAAATTCATGATCCTTTAGGAGCCAATGCTATTGTCTGAATTTTTAACATTTTCTTTTTCATTACCTTCTAACTTCCTTTGGAATTGTTAGAGATTTTTTAAGAAACTGGAAATTGTCCAACTTACACTTAATGATCCCCACTGATACAATATGTGCAGTATCATAGTTGTCTATGTGCATTACTTGTTCTATACTTTATTCTCTTACGCAAGCGGACCGCCCAACACCTAGGCGGTCCAAAAGGCTTGGGCGCATCTCCCAGTCCTAGGCGGCCATACTAGGATGGGCGGTTCTTGGGCGGGCGCCTAGGCGGTATGACACCCGTCAAGGCAGGCCTCCCAGGGCTTGCGCCTGTCCAGGGGCGGAAATGGATTTTTTTGAGGGTTGTTTTGGGGTTTTTTTGAAAGAAAAAATGCTTTTAAAGGTGGGTTTTAGGTTCATTTGAAACCTAAACCCACAAGAACCCATTTTAAAGAGAGAGAAAAACCTAAAAAAAACTAGATTTTGTGATTTTCATTGGATTGAAGTGTTTCTCAAAGTTACGGGAAATGGATCCAAACATCACCCATCAATATTAGATTTAGTTTTGGAGTTTTTTTAGTCCTATTAGAGGCTGTTTTTGAATATTTTAGCACCAGAAACATCTAAGAGGTGGAAGTTTGGAGTTCGAGCAATCAAAGTAAGTACAAAACTTTATTTTTTAGATTGCTTGTATTATTTTGAGATGTCTTCTTCAGGGATCTAGTCGAAGTGGTGATCCGAGTTGGAAATATGGATATAACCTGAATCCGAATGACAAAAATTGCCTAAGATGCAATTATTGTGGAAAGGATACAAAATCGGGCATAAACCGGTTTAAGAAACATCTTGCCCGCATTAAGGGAAATGTTGCCCGTGTAAAAATCTTCCTGAAGCCATTAGAGAGGAGATTAACCAATATTTGAGTGCAGAAAGACAGAAATAGGAACAAAATCCTTGTCATTTGGATACGTCTATTTCTAGTATTGCTAGAAAAGGTGATCCGGGTTAGAAGTATGGTCATAACCCAAAACCAAACGATAAAAATTTTATAAGGTGTAATTTTTGTGAAAAAGATACCAATCGGGGTATTAATCGATTCAAGAAACACCTTGTTAAAGGGAATGTTGTTTCTTGTAAAAAGGTTCCTGGAGCTATTCAGGATGAGATTAGACAATATTTGAATTTAGTTGAACCAGAAAAGGTTAAAATGAGTCTTGTTTTATGGAAATATCTTCTCAAAGTTCTTCTAGAAGTGGTGATCCCGGTTGGAAGTATGGTCATAACCTGAATTCGAATGATAAAAATCGTATTAAATGTAATTATTGTGGAAATGATACTAATGGGGGTATTTACCGTTTGAAAAAACACCTTATCGGTATTAACGGGATGTTGCCCCCTGTTGAAATATTCCTGAGGCTACCAGGGAGGAGATTATACAATATTTGAGTTCAAGGAAGCACAAAAAGATAGAAAATGGTAGAGCAGCCAAAACTCTTAGGGCCTCATCTGCACAGAGTAAGAGGGAGGTAGAAGAAGAGGAGGAAGAGGCAGATTCAGAAACAGAGGTGGACGAGCGTTATGTTGAGGGAGATGATTTTGATGATGATGGCCTCGAATGTGATGCATATGATGAGGCTTATCTTATTCCTTCTGATGATGATGATGATGACTGAATATTTTTTGACTCTTGGAGATGATTTTTGACTATTGAGTCCTAGACTGTATGTTTTTTGAATTTGTGTATATTTTCTTTTTCTTATTTTTAGTTTCTAGTTTTTGCTATCTAACTCTTGTGTGTATCAGTGTATGCTTTATGGTTTTAGCATTATATGAAAATATGGATTATGGACTATCAAAATTCTCCTCATTCATGGAATATCAAATATGGATTTGGGTTGTGTTATATAGTTATATTGTTATATTTAGTATATAGTTAATGGAAAAAATCATAAAAATTGTAACATTTTTCTTTCTACTGGGCCGCTCAGGTTCTGGACACCCGCCTAGGTTCTATGCAACTTGGACTCCCACGGCTGCCAAGCGATTTTAAAACGCTGCTCTTACCATAATGTGCTTGGCAAAGTCGTGCTTAGATAAGCATATTGCATTATTGCCTTTATATTTTTTGATGAATTTTAGCTGTTCATGTGATAGAAAACCTTCTTGATAAGAATTTTTTTAGCCTGGATATTTGCTTTCTACGAGACTTATCTTCCTTTTAGACTTTGTTTAGCTGAATATTTGCTCTCTTAGACTTTGTTTAGTTGGATATTTGCTTGCTATGTGACCTGCTTTCTGGTGTATCCCTGACATTGCTTTTGACAGGAAGGAAAAAACTGGCGTGGATCGTTTCTCACTTCGTCAAGCAGTAATTTTTATCTGTGCAACTAATCGACCAGATGAACTTGATCTGGACTTTGTTCGTCCCGGTCGCATTGATCGTCGACTACACATAGGCTTACCTGATGCAAATCAAAGGGTGCAAATTTTTGGTGTGCACAGTGCCGGGAAAGAGCTCGCTGATGATGTGGACTTTAAGAAGGTAAATTTGTTGGTTCCCATTGAAAAGTTGTTGCATTTGTGCAGTTGTGATGCCATTTATATATAAATCACCATCTGTTGATATGTTTTCCATCTTGCTTTTGAGATGTGATAATTTTACATGTATTAAGAATGAAGAAATTTTGGACTGCAGACATGATTCTGGGAACAAAGATTACACGCATCGATTTTTGTAACTTGCCTTTCGTTCCCCATGCTCCAAAAGCATTGTTTTCAAAACGTCCATTTCCAGTGTCACTCTTGGTTGACACAGTTTCACTGTTGGAGTCCTGAGATGTTGCCTTAAGTTCTCTTTGACTTTTTATTAATGTGTTTGAGTTTCTTTGCGGAAGAAGTGCCTGTGGAACTCAAAGTATTAAACTTTTATTCAATATACCTTAATTCCACTTACAACGACCACTAAATATTGCTGTAAATTGAAAATAGTACCTTAGATGCACCTTAGGATCTTTATTTTCACTGCTAAAGCAAATAAAAAACGTCCAAGAGCAATAGATAATCTTCCACTATGATTTTTAGTACAATATGTGTTCTTGAAAATTGACAAAAAATAAGAAATATGACTAAAAATAAATCGACTGGAAGACTTACTTGAAGGTGCCTCGAGTTATCCTCGCAGGTCTTGATCCACCCCACACTCGATTCCTTGCCCGATGGCGTATTTAGTTTTGTAGGTGTTGCTGAAAATTTTGAGATGGGAAGCTTTTCAGGCAATCGCTGCAATACCATTCAATCTAGGGTTATAGAGAGCTAAAAAATTCTATAGGAAAAAACTAGGATAAGGCCTGAGGGTTATTTCTCTCTTGGATGGCTGTACATCTCTTCTTTAAAAATCAGTAAATCTCACTTAGGGTTTGAAATTACCACCTTTTTCTTTGATAGAAGCTACTCAAATATGGGGGCAGAGAGGGTGGCATGACTCTCTCTAAGGGAAAACAAGGGGGTCATGTGGTTTTAAATATTGAGAAAGACAGAAAAATATGGCGTCAGAGAGAAAGAGAACATGGCGTAATAGAGCGATAGAGAACTTGGGGCGTAATGAGAGGGGGGGTTCAAATCTTGTATATATAGTAACAAAATCTATGTCCCACTTTGAATAGGATTCTAATCTAGGTATGCTTTATCTAATTTCCAACTTGACCTTTAGAATAATTACAAAGTCTGTGGGATGAGAGAGATTTAATCAGAGCCGTGCATCTCAGAAATCAGCCATCATGATTTTGGGTGGAAAAATAGAAATCTTATCCCCTTATATTTGACCCAAATCCAACTCCTATTTAGATTTGAAATATAATCACTATTATTAGTGTCTAGCTCTTCCATAATGTTTAAGAAGTTAAAGATGATCCTTTATATTTTTAAACTCCAACTTGAATATGAAACCAAATTTATTTCAAAATTAGAAGAGTCCCTATCGAACACTTCAACTAAAAGTGGCAGATTTAAATATAAAAAAGTGGAGCGTGCCATATTTTGTTTAAAAGAAATGGGGCGCGCAACCCTAGGGTATCATGTGGGCCCCACATGGGTGGCACATACATGTGGGGGGTGGATCCTTGGTCCCACATGTGCCTTGTCAAGTTCTGAATATTTTAAAATACACTTTTAATGAATATTATTGCAGAATTAAAATTTTAAAATTCTAGAAAAATATGTAAAAATCATAAAATCATTTCTAATACCAAAATAAAATATATTAATAGTGGACTGGTACCAATAGGTCAAATTAGCGACAATAAGGGCACTCCACTTGATCTAATAATCATGATTCACCGCTGTTTTCTTATCCAACCCAACAAAGACCCATAGCCCACAATCTCAAAGCAAGAGCTTATGATTGGCTTGTCAAGTTGGAAAATAAACAGTGGAACTATGATTCTGGAATGTGGACTACAATTCTCCCCTTTAACAGCAAATCGACCACTTGTCACTACCATGCTAATGATGTTCTCTTTATGCACATGCACACATATCCCTCTAAAAGGTTGTTTCCCAGTAATACGACTGTCATGTTTACCTGTTGTGCAGAAGTTTATTAAAGTTTTGGCCCATGCTCTCACATGCCTATAACCGCACACAAGAGACCACACAGTTCTCGTGGCCTACAATAAAAACACATCTGAGCATTTCTCTAACCTCAACAAGGGATGACCCACTGAAATCCTTCTCGATAGTGCCACATGCCCAAGGGTAAGGGTTTTGGACATAACCAAGGCCATAAACTGCCCAACCCTTGGTCAGTCAACACATGCACTCCCACTGAAGTACATATTCCACTATAAAATATCATATTTACAAGCTCTCTAGGCCTTTAAAGGCCACAAAACCCAACAATTTGTAGCATGTTTTGGTAATAATTGTTCTTGTTGAGGTTACTATATATATATATATATATTTATATATTCGTGATAACATTATTGGTTGTTTTTCTTTCTTTTATTCCTCATATATTGTTTCTTATGGAGGTTAGTTATGATTTGGGCCTTTGTGTGGAATGCTTGAGTTGAAAATGTGATTAAACTTCATGACTTTGCTTGTCTTTCTACAGCTTGTCTTCCGGACTGTAGGTTATTCAGGAGCAGATATCCGGAACCTTGTCAATGAAGCCGGGATAATGTCGGTTAGTGCATTTTTCCCTCTTTTAGGGTGATAAAAATGAGGTATTGTTTGTGTTTTTCCTTTTGCTGTTGTTTTGGTAAGTCGGATCATTCTTGATCTTTCTTTTTTAGTGATAATTGCTAATCATTCTTTATTTTGATGAATATTTTTATTCTGAATTATATACTTTGATCTGTGAAGTTCTTTTTTTACCTTTGATGAAATTGTAGAATGCAGTACACTGCTCTACTCAAATTTTTTGGATTATTCGTTAACCTAAGAGCCTTTTAACCATTGTTACTATATTATATGTAAAGTCATATTCTTTCAAAAGGAACTATTTTCTTGATCTGTTGTCTCTCGTGAACGAAGAACGTTTTCCAAAATTAATGGTGTTCCAATTATACCCTGAATAAATACGGATCTCTTTTCATATTTATTTTCCTCAATTGTTTGCAATTCTATATCTTTTTTATATTTGTTTTTCTCATTGTTTGCAATTCTATATCATTTTACAGACTATGCTATAAAAATTCATCATATTCATAACAGAATTTATCTTGTTATGCTTGTGGTCTTACACAGTTAAATAACTTGAGGACTTATCTCGCTACTCCTTCCAAAGGAAAACTGCTGACTTGGCAAATTTCCATTCTGTTTCGTTCTTCAAATAATCTGATAGGCAAGAGAAATGTAGAAATAAATCAAGTGGTTTCATGTTACAATTTAAATGTTCAATGTTTTGATCACATGGAAAATGTTTTTGAGGAATGGTTGACTAGAGCATATTCATTAATCATCACACTGCATGAACATCAATTTACCAAATATGCACCCTCCAAAAGGAAATCAATGAGATCTTCTATTACCCTTGGCTATAATATTTGTACCAATTACGCAATACAATCGTATTAACCTTCCTGGCCATAGACAAAGACGGATACTGAACTTAATTTTAATCTTCTGTCTGTTGGCATAAATTATGGTGAGCCAAGTGTGCTTATGTTTCTCAAGCTGATGTAGGTGCCAAGCCTTTGGTGTGGTGTCTCTTTGTAGGGCGTTAACCTTGTTATAATTGTTCTTCTCAGCTCATTCTGAATGACCATGACTAGCTTCATAATGTGGTGGTGGTGGTAATTCATCGTTCTTACTCTCCCTATCTCCACCAATGTTATCATCATCTTGGTCAATCTCTGTGAATGATTGTCTACCCGAATTCGATACCAATTTTCTGCAAGTGTGCCAAAGCTTTTAACTGTGCCTTTTCTATAAAAACTTTGCAAAAGAATCACAAGACATAGCTACTGGGCCAAACATGAGGAAAAGATGATTGACCTGCCAGGATCTCTGGAGGATCACTGTTCTGGATCAATTGATGCAACTTCAGATGGAGTGGAGCCATTTTCTGCTGAATCTGATGATACGAGGTTTGCTAAATGCAAATTTGTAGATCCAGAGGACCTTGTAGGCAGTGGATCCGCCAAACATGCATTTTCTTTTTGTTTCTTCCTTTTATATCATTTGCATCGTTGAATCTGTGAAGATATATCATCTTAGGAGACCCACTTCTGGTGTCCCATATCCTGAGTAAGACCATATGTGCCCATATTTGTTCTCACTAGTTCCATCCATGTCCTTTTGGGCCTTCCCCTTGGTCTTGTACAGCCTTCTAATTGAACCAAATTATACCTCCTAGCTCGGCGCTATATTGGGTCTGCGCTGCGCATGGCCAGCCCACCTAAGTATACTTTCCCTCATCTTATCACCTATTGAAGCCACAGCTAAGTTCCTCGAATGTATTCATTTTGAATTCTATCATTTTTTGTCTTTCCACTCATCCATTTCAACATCCTCATCTCAACTATACTCATCCTATGGATATATTGTTTCTTGACCACCCAACATTCGGTCCCATAAAGCAATGCTGGTCTCGCCGTTGTCGTGTAGAACTTTCCCTTCAGCTTCATTGTATGTGGCGATCACATAAAACTGTGGTTGTACATATCCACTTCACCCACCCTGCTTTAATTCTATGTGCGACGTGTTCCTCATTCTCTCCATTTTCCTGGATTTTCAACCTAGGATATTGAAAATATTCTTAAAGTTCAAAACATACCAACCATTAAATTTTAGCATGTACAAAAGGACTTTAGAGGTCTTGTGTATGGTCTGTTCCTAAAGTCAAGCGGGGCCAAGTAGATTTGATGCCCCTCCCCCACTAGATTTGCTTCTGAGTTTCTTTTTAGCCATGCAGTCTCTATGCTGTGTGAACATATTATCTGGTGAAATTAGCATCTCATGTCCTATTTATATTTAGGTTTAGTAAAATCTTTATTTAGATTTATCTAATATTTCACCAGTCAATTGGAATAGTACCTGTACTTTTGATGGTATTCAGTGTTCCCATGATTTTGTTTTGCTTGAGATTCACTTTAGCATTGTGTTAGATATATCAGTTACTGGGAAATGTGACAGCACTTACACATTACTTGTTGTGGTTCAGGAATAGCTTCCAGCAACCACATGGGGATACCTTTGAACTTTTGTTTCTTTGATTGTCATCTCTCACTCTTGTGATATGGAAGCATAAATAGATCAAGATGAGTGTGGATATTGTATCCTGTATGTACCATTTCTCTGTCCTTGTTAATGTATAGGTGATGCTTCTTCTAATCAGCTTCCCAGGTATTTCAGTGCATTTGTCTCCTAAGAATTTGAAAATAATTACATTTAAGGCATTGGAAGAATAGGAAAAGATTGGATTTTTATCATGCTGAGAGCCTTGTTCATATTGACATTTAGGTGACTTTAAACTATGGATGAATTTAAAATTTAAGTGATGCCTTTATTGATCTCTTTTCTTACTAGATAATCAGCATTTAATTGCTTTTAGGTAAGGAAAGGGCATTCACAGATATACCAGCAGGATATCATTGATGTGCTAGATAAGCAATTGCTTGAGGGTATGGGTGTATTGCTTACAGAGGAAGAGCAACAGAAGTCTGAAGCGAGTGTGAGCAACTTACCTGATTGCTATTTGCATTTTGAAATAGTGTGATTTTGATTTATTGTAATTATCAATGTGTGTTAGTTCTGTAGCATTTGATAAGATTAGGGCCATGCGTGTTCAAACTACAGGTATCTGTTGAGAAAAAGAGACTTCTGGCTGTACATGAAGCTGGTCATATATTGTTAGCCCATCTATTTCCAAGATATGATTGGCATGCCTTCTCTCAGTTGCTTCCTGGTGGTAAGGTATTGAATGTCGAAAGAGTAATTTAGTATTATAAATTTAATTTTGTAATTGTTTTCTTTGGTTTGAAAAGGTCCCAAGCTTTTTAGTGGAAATATCTGTCATTTGCTAATGGCTGGGCAATTTTTTTATCTTTTTATTTTTGAATTGTAATGGCTGCACAGGTTCTCTGTTTTAGTTTCATGTCTAACCCATTTCTCCTGAATGGAATTAGGAAACTGCGCTTTCTGTCTTTTACCCGAGGGAAGATATGATAGACCAAGGATATACAACCTTTGGGTACATGAAAATGCAAATGGTTGTGGCTCATGGTGGGCGATGTGCTGAGCTTGTGGTGTTTGGGGATGGGGTTACTGATGGTGGAAGAGATGATCTTGAAAAAATATCAAAAGTATGAGCTTTTACTTTTCCGTTTCTGTAGAATTTATATGATAATGTCATGTGGATCTTTGTAGCTTACTGTAGTTTACACTCCAGATTGGTAGAGAGATGGTTATTAGTCCCAGAAATGCCAGGTTGGGCCTTACTGCTTTGATAAAAAGGTATGGAGTGACAGAGTCACCGGACAGTCCAGATGGTGAACTAATAAAGTATAAGGTACCGGTCATGTTTGGTATGGTTATTATTTGGTGAAATTTTTTATGCCCTTTAGGGTGCGAAGTACTAAGTTTTTCTCTTATCCTTCTGAATGCTCATTTTCTTCTGAAGTGGGAGGATCCTCATGTCATTCCTGTGGATATGACTCCTGAATTGTCAGAGCTCTTCACACGAGAACTGACTCGGGTACACTATTCTTGCTCCTTTTTTTTTATTGTCCTTTTTGTATTTTTTATATGTATTTGAAGGCCCTATTGTCGGGGTGATCAAATGTTACATTATTTAGTTACTGCTTCTGGTTATTGGTTGTGAACATGTGACGCTAGTAGTTAACATAAAGGTTTTAAAAATCGCTGATCCGAATCGGAATTGCCCGATCCGGATTGAAAATCGTTGAAACCATTATGTTCCCCCGTTGTGTTCCCCACCTTTATATATATTTTTTCTCCTGTTAAATTTTTTATATTACAATGTCTCACCTAACGAGTGGTGGCAAGGGCCCACCCTTCTTACTCAAAGGGAGCTGCAAATCACAAGACACCCATCCTTTGAGATGTGAACCTTTTATAGATGCCCTACCCCCTCTTGCTATCATATCGTCCTGATGTGGGACAAATGCTATCGTCATTTATCTTCATTTATGTGGCTGGTGAATACATTCCTCTATAAACGCTGCCATTAACACTTATTTTCTTTGTACAAACACTTTATTTATTTATTTAAAATTGTTCTTTCTACAAACACTTGTAGAAAGAAAACCTATCGTCATTTTTTTGCTTAGCATCAAACAATATCTTCATTTAAAAGGTGTAAGAGGTTTATAGAAATGAACACTATCTTTATTTATTTTTAACGTCAAGCTCTATCTTCATTTAAAAAGTGTTAATAAACCCCACATTTAAAAGAAAAGAAAAAATGAGTGCAATGACAATAAGAACAAGGTTTAAGGTCCAATAAATTTGTTGTCGAGGAGACTCATCAAACCCACTTTTCAAAGGCATGATTGTTGGGTTTTGTGGCTTTGAAAGGCCTAGAAAACTCGTAAAAATGCTATTTATAGTGGGAAATGCACTTCAGTGGCTTTCAAAGGCGGTTTATAGCCTTGGTAATATCCAAAACCCTTAGCTCTGGGCATGTGGCACAACCGAGAAGGTTTTACAGTGGGTCATCCCTTGTTGAGGTCGGAGAGATGCCTAGGGATTATGTTTGTAGGTCAGGAGAACTGTGTGGTCTCCTGTGTGTAGTTTTAGGCCTATGAGAGCAAAGGCCTAAGCCTCAACAAACTTCTGCACAACATGTATAAATGATAGCCGCATAGGAAGCTGCCCTATAGAGGAACATGTGTACCTATGTATAGAGAGAGCCTTTTTTTCATTGTGGTGACAAGTGCTAGACTTGCTCTCAAAGGGGGGGAACTGAAATCCACATTCTGACTTTATTATCCCATTGTTTATTATCCAACTTTATTATCCAACTTTATTATCCCACTGTTTATTATCCAACTTTGACAAGCCAATCAAGAGCCTCTGCAAAGAGACTGTGGGTCATGAGACTTTGTTGGGTTGGATAAGAGAATAATAGTGGATCATAGTTTTTGGGGCGAGTGGAGTGGCCATAGTGTCACTAATTTTTACTCATTGGTATCGGTCCACTCCTTGTATAATTTATTTTGATATTATGAATGTTTTCTATGGTTTTTAAATATTTTTCATATCATTTTTGCTATAATTTTTATTAAAAGGGTATTTCTGAAATTTTTGAACTTAAAATAACACATGTGGGACCATTGATCCATCCCACATGTGTGAGTTTTGTTTTAAAGTGTAGGGACCACGTGACACCCTCTCGTGAGCCACAATTTTTTTTAAACAATTTTGGCACGCCACCTTTTATGGAAGAAAGGGGGTATACCATTATTACAGGGAAAGAGGGGCACACCCCTTTTTTAGTTCTATTTTTAAATAAGTGGCACTTGACTTTAATTGGAGAACGAGGGGTACTCCCACTTTGTTAATAGTTGATTCAAATATTATGGGAAATCCTATTAGCTTTAAATTAGATTTGGTTTCTTATCCTTATGGGAAATCTAGAGATCTAGATAATCTTTAAGTTTGATTGTATTTCAAATTGAAATGGGAGTTCTAGATAAAGTTTATTTTAAATTTAAATAGGAGTTGGACTTGGGTCAAAGTCCAAGAGGATAATGTTCCTATCTTTCGACCCATAATCATGATGTCTGATCTATGTGATGTATGACTTTGATTAAATCTCTCTCACCTAACAGATTTCCTATTTATCCTGAAGGTCTAGCTGGAAACTGGATAAGGCAATACTGAGAAGGAATCCTGTTCAAACTAGAAGAGAGAGTAGGAATCCTGTTCAATCTAGAAGAGAGATTTCTTTCTATATAAAGATCAAATTTGAGCCCTCTCTTACAATTACAAGATCTCTCTCTCCTACAACAAATAGATCCTCTCTCTCTCTCTCTTTCTCTCACACCCAAATTCTCTCTCCCATAATTTTCATGCCCCTCTATTTAACCATCGCGAGGCACGCCACCCTCTCTCTCCTCTATATTTTGTCTTGAAGAAAAATATAGGTGGCTCTATAGAGAAACCCTAGAGCAAGGGTTTACTGTATTTTGAAGAAAGAAGAGAGACCCCCAGCCTAGAGAGAGATCGAGTGGCATATTCAGCCCTACATTGTTCCCATAGGGTTTTTATAAACTCTAGTTTATTTGTATTTTGAAGAAAAAAAAGTGAACCTCAGCCCAAAGAGAGATCGAGTCTCAGATTCAACCCTACTTCTTTCCCATAGGGTTTTTATAAACTCTAGTTTATTTTTGAGCTCGTTAAAAACCTAGAGAAAGAAGCATTGCCTCTAAAGCTTCCCTATGTAATAATTTCCAGCAACACCTTAAAGAGAAAAAATACACCATTGGTCAGGGAATCGGGTGTGGGGTGTACCAAGCCATAGGAGGGTTACTCCAGACATCTTCCAGTAAATCTTTCTAGTAGTTTTAAATTAATTTACAGTAGTATTTCCTATTTTCTGTAAATTTTCAGGAAATTATTTTTTGCTAAAAATTATAGTGGGTGTTAGTTTAAAGTTCTTGAATAGGTTGTATCTAGGGCATTATTTTGATTTTATAGCAACATATTGTGGCCCATGCAAGTGGATTTCAGGTATTTGAAATAAAAGTAAAATAAACTTTTTGAATTTAATCCCTTGAGTTCCACGTAGTCACACCTTTCAATGATGTAATGTTTCAAAATTAAAAATACAACGATGAAAAGGCCATTATGCAATTTTGGAAGATTCATGGTACTTCTATTAATTACTTTTGGTTCTAAAAAAAATTGCCATTTTAAAGTGCATCCACCTAAAGTGGTGGTGTCAAAAAGAAAGGATTTAGAAAAATGAAGTGAAAAAAAATAACCAGCTACTCTTGAACAAGGACAGATGAAGTTAAAATGAAGCAAAAGAAAATTTAGAAAAGAAATAAATAGAGTAATTTAGTGAATGAGGGAGTACCATGAAGAAAAAGCTGGGAAAAAAAAAATACTTTGATCCTTAGATTTATGCAAGTTCATTACGATAAAAATACAAATGGCAATTAATAAGTCATTCAATAAATTGATTTTCAGAAAAGGGGAAATAAGAAATGAGTAGGTAAGATCCCCATATTTACAAGTGCAAGTGGTAATGGAGATTATGAAAATAAAAAAATGAGTTAGAGAGATCCATTTTATTGCAATGAGTTGCATTTTAAATTTCACTTTGAATATTAAATGGATGTAGTGGTCAACAAACACTCAGGCATGAAATAGATTCTCAGTATTTACATATTTTTGATGAAATAATGAAAATCTACAATGCAATGTTCCCAATTTCTTTGGAAACATAAGAAATTAGTTTTTTCAGACATTTTAGTGGTTTTTTGAATGTTTTTACGCGGGATTAGGCCGACACAGCCGAGTCTCCGATTTGGACCGCCGATCTGACCTGGTCTTCCGGATGGACAAGCTGGGTTATCAATCTATTTTTTTTAAATCTTGGTTAACACTATTGGAAAAGGATCATTATACCTTTTAAGGTATAATGATAACAATACTCTTTTGTAAATGAGTAGGACTGTTCGCATCTTTCTTGTTCCTTGTAGTTGTTGGTTGATGGTATGTATTATTTCATCATGATATTTGTGATTGGATATGTTGATTTTATGTAATTATTAGGTGGGAGAAAGCTTTATATCCTCTCTTGGTTTTTGTGACAGTATATTGAAGAGACAGAAGAGTATGCAATGGATGGTTTGATGCGCAACAGACATATTCTAGATCGGATTGTTGATGTATTGTTGGAACGATCAAGGTTGACAGGATTGGTATGCCACACTACCTTGATATCATATGTTTCATCAAATATCTTTTTTTTTGAAGATAATTTATGTATCAGGTCCTTCCTATCTCCATTTGTTAGTTATAACATGATTTACTAAGGAACATATGTGGATTATCTGATCACCCTTTGTTGGAGAATTTTGTGAATTCTGTCATATTATATGTGAGGTTTTAGTTATTTGGTTGTCTTGTATATCCTTTGTTTCACAGTCTGAACAGAACATTTCTTCAATTACCGTTTGGTATTTCTGCAATGGCACGATAAACCAGGGGACTGGTTTATTTGCTGCCCTTTTCTCAAATATATGGTTGTAATATCAAATATTATGTAAAAAACAATATGTATTTCAAATAAAATGCATTTTAACTTGCGTAACAAAATTAGCTTTGACTTCAGAATCAGGCTACACTTGATTGGTTGAACTACCCTAAAACGAAAAGCTTTGGCTTCATTAATTGTTGTTTATAGGTATTAGTAATCAGGCTTCGATAGAAATGAGTGTCTGTGGATGTACAGGCCAGAAGGTGGGGGGTGGGAAATGGTGCAATCTGTCATGCTCATACTACAGTGCACAGTTGTTAACATGCTCAGTTTTTGGATACCGATGTCCCTACCCTTTTGTAACTATTTTTGCAGCATTTAATGTGATATGTCATGAGCAGAACTAAATTCTTTACGAGCGACGCATTCTGACACCCCATATGCTTTGACATAAAACACATGTAATCCTATTCTGTCTGCCACTTCCAGTACCGAAAACCCTAGCTTCTATGCGAAGGTGTAGTAACAGGGTAATGTGTATGAATCCAATTACAAGATCAGTCCCTTGGAGTTTTATTTGTTATTAGCTCATTAAAATTCTCTTAAAGCTTCTTTCTTTATTTGTGGTCCGAATGTAAAGAAATCACATTAGGCTCCAGATTGCTTTTCGCTCGAATTTCCCTCTCATGTAAGCTAGTCACTTTTGTTGAATATTACGTTAACTGTCCATCAGATGAGCACAGGAATGTACTAGCTACCAGAGTATCAAAGGAGTTGCCGTCTATGGGTAAATCATTTGTATTATTATTTTTTATTATCTTGATTGTGATTCCGATTTTTATCTTCCCCTCAGATTAATATGCCAGAAGACCAAATGGTTTGACATCCTGGTAATGAAATTTCAGCTGTTCCCTAACATGGTTGAGCATGTTCCAAGTTGGATGGTATTCCTATCTTGGTTACTCAGTTCCATTGATTTTCTAATGTGTCTTCCTGAAATTCAATGAGGGCCAGTCTCATTCTTTGGATTTGTCTTGTTTTGTTGTTCAATACTTATGCCTACCTTCATAGGAAAATTCTAGAGAAACATAGTGCCTTCTTTCAGTGACAACCCATCTTTGTATTCTGGGCTTCAACGTATGAGCTGCAAGTTTTGGGAGTCCTTGAAATGATTCAGGTGCCTCTAATGTTTACGTGTTGACAAGCAAACTAGGTGCTTGTGCCTCTATAGATACTCATGGTTTCTACTGCTGACAATCTCAGTATTTCCCAACACATACATGTTGAAAGTTGTAGTTATGTGGAACTCAAGGTAATAAATTAAAAAGAAAAATCCTTTTTTTTTGTTAATATACCTGAATTCCACTTATATGAACCACAAAAAGTGCTGTAAATAAAAAAATATAACCTTAAATACAACTTAGAACCTTTCCCTTTTCTGTCAAAACAAATAAACAACCCAGGAACAATATCCAATATTCCATTATGAATTTACGTACAATATATGATCCTGAAAAATCACAAGAATTGACTGACAAGTAAATAAAAAAAGCTAAGAAAACTTACTTGATCATGCTTTGGGTTACCCCCATAGGAGTTGATACACCCCATACCCAATTCTCTGACCAATGGCGCACTTTTGCCCCTTATGATCTTGCTGGATGGGAAGCTTTCATAGGCAATTCCTCTTAATCTAAGGTTTTAGAGAGCATGGAAACCTAACTAGGCTTTGTAGGAACCGTTAGGAACAAATTAGGATTGGGTTTGAAGGCATACAATCCTCGGCGTGACCCTTTTTCTTCTTCAAAAAGCAAAACCCTAATTAGGATTTCAATCTGCCACCCTTGTCTTATCAAATTTTGGTTTTGGAAGTGAGGAGAGAGAAAAACGAATTTTTAATGAGAGATTTAATACATGGAAGAGAGAAATATCTGTCTAGAAGAGAGGGGCTCAATGGTGCTTAAATAAAAATATTTCCTTCTCCAATTTGGATTAGAACTCCTTCTAAGTATATTCTTTATCAAATGATGCAACTTGACAATAGGAACTTAGAAAATGTGTGGGGTGAAAGAGATTAAATCTGAGCAATCCATCTTACAAATCAATGATGATTGATTTTGGAAGGATTATTAGGAACCTTATCTCCTTATAATTTGAGCCAAGTCCAACTTCTAATTGAAATAGAATTATATCCAATCTAGAACTCCTATTATCATTTTTAAAATTTGTAGGAAGTCAAAGATAACTTTTATTCAGTTAAAATAAACTCCCACAAAGCTAAGACAATCTTTTCTTTTAAAAGATTATTTTGACTTATAACTAACTGTAATTTAAAAAAAAACTACCATTTAAAAATAAGTTGAAGAAGTCATCCCTATAGGCCTCAAGTGGGCCCCATAGGCTACACGTCCACGCATGTGAGGGTGGCACACATGTGGGGCTAGATCCTGGGGCCCCACATGTGCCCTTCATTATTCTGAAAATTTTGAAAGTATCCTTTTCAAAGATTTTACAGCAGAAATAAATTTTTTAAAAAATGGAAATTCTTTTGTAAAATTCACATTAGTATTTCTAATACCAAAATAAAATATTTAAAAGTGGACTGGTACCAAGTGACTCTAAGTGCACTTCACCCAACCCAGTAACCAAGATTCAAAACTGTCTTCTCAATCAAACTAAAGTCGTATGCATGAATTCATGATTGGCTTGTCAAAGTTGGCCCAATAAAAGGTGGTTCCGTGATCCCGGAATATGGATCTCAGTTCCCCCATTAAGAGCAAGTCTAACACCTGCCACTGCAGTGCACATGGGGCTCTCTCTATGTACATGTACACGTGTCCCTCTATCGGGGTGCGTCCAAGTAATGTGACTGTCATATGTACATGTCATGCGGAAGTTTGCTGAGGCTTTGATCCTTGATTTCACCGGCCGACAATAACACACAAGAGACCCATACAATTCTCCTGGCCTAGAAACATTATTCAGGCACTTTTTTGACCTCAACAAGGGATGATCCACTGTAAACCCTTCTCGGTAGTGCCACATGCCCAAGTTTAGGTCATTTTGGTTTTTTTACTGCCTCTTCTAATTTGTCTTTCACTCTTCAGACCTTTTTCAAATGCCACAATGGAACATAACTTATAGACCATCTCCCTATTTGATTGCCCGAACAAGAACTTTCTTCCATTGTTGTACTTTGTGTTTCAATCTCTATACTCCCTTCTTGTTCATTGTCTACTATACTATCACCGTACAACATGCTACAAAGTCAATCGAACAGTTAGAGGCACAATTCTTGTCTTATTATGGATGAATATTTGTAGTTCATCTGTGATGAAGCCGTAGAAGGTTCTTTCAGATGTGAAGCAAGTTCTTTTCATAGTATCTTAAGGAGGTATTTATCACTATATCTAGCTAGTATACCATGTTTTGATTGACAATAAATCAACTGAAGAAGGCTTTTTGTTGTCTCAAATAACCCCCCTTAACTTGGTTTCAAATATTTGATCGTGCCATCATCGTTGTTGGTTCTGATGGTTGGCAACCTAGGTGATTATCTCCATGTTGGATCAGGAACATACAGCATTGAATGTAACATGCAGCATTGAATATACTTAAAGAATTCGATAAAATAGAATGGATGAAATGCCTTTGCATGATTTATGGAGCATGTGAGAGGGACCTTGAACTGTTACACTTGCTTAAGTGGTCATGGTTGTTTCCTTTGAGCGCATGAGGTTGAGCATATCTTGGTGGCTGGTCGGTCAGCAGTTTGTTTCCCAAATTGAGACCAACAAATGAAAGATGTGGCTATGTGGAAGTCATGATAGAACAAAAAAAAAAAAATTCTCCTTACTTTTATTAATACACCTGAATTCCATTTACAGAGGCCCACAATTCAGTGCTGTAAATAAAAAATTGAAACCCTAAATACAACCTAAGACCTTTCATTTTACTGCCAAAATCAAAAGAAACAATCCAAGAATAAAAACCAAAATTCCACTATCAATTTTAATACAAGGTATGTTCCTAGAAATCACAGTAAATATGGAGATAAGACTGAAACACAAAAATAAATAGCTGGGAAGACTTACTGGATCATGCCTAAGGTTACCCCCATAGGACTTAGTGCATCCCACACCCAATTTCTGCCATGCTAACCATCTAGCCTTGAGCCTATTTCTATTTAAAAGATTATCTAACTTAAAACAACTTGAATTAAAACAAAACTAAATAAATAAAGAAGTTGGGTGTGCCACCCCTATGGGTGACATGTGGGCCCCATGGATCCCATGCCCCACCAATGGGGATTGGAACACATGAGGGGCTGGATCCTAGGGCCCCACATGTACCATTGCTTTGTTCCATAATTATGAAAATACACTTTTCAAAGAATTTACAGCAGAAAATAATTTTAAAAATTTAGAAATTTTTACAAAATTCATAGAAATATTTCTAACAACAAAAATAAAATATCTAGAAGTGGATTGGCAATAGGTCAAAATAAATGACTACAAGGCTACTCCACCCAACCCAATGACCATTATCCACAAATGTTTTCTCAAATCAACCCAATGAAAACCCATGACCCACAGTCTCATGCAGGGGGTTCATGATTTGCTCGTTAAAGTTGGCCAATAATTAGTGGAATCACAGTGCCATAATGTGGATTATAGTTTCCTCCCCTTAAGAGCAAGTCAAGCACATGTCACCACAGTGCAAGGGGGACTCTCTCTATGCACATGCATACGTATCCCTTTTTAGGGCTGCTTCAAGGTAATGCTTCTGCCATATGTACATAATATGTGAAAGTTTGTTGAGGATTTGGCCTTTGCTCTCACAAGCTTTCACCCGCACATAGGAAACACATACAACTCTCTTGGCCTAACTATAATTCGTTATGACTACTTTCCCAAATAAAAAATCGTTGACTTTTGTGACAGTAGATATACATAGAGATCTTCATCTTCGATTTACAAGTTAGAATAAAATGTTTCTCCCTTTTCTGGGAATCTATTCTTGCTTCCTTTTTCTGATCCTTTTCTTTTTATCCGTTTTTCAGGAAGTGCAAGAAATAGTGAGACAAATGAATCCCTCGATGTTTGATGATTTTGTGGAACCATTCCAGATTAATCTGGATGAGGTATGACCCTAATATACCAATATACTTTTATTCTGGTGGTATATTGATTTCCTTCTTTCTTGTATTATTTAGTTGATCTGTTTATCTTGATAATTTAGCATATCTCTTTGGCTGTGCACAAGAAATGTATTTTTCACAGGGTATCTATTCTATCTTGTATTGGTTAGATGATTGTCTGCATGTCAATTCTGTTCCATAATTTTATCATTTACGCTTTTGGACATCCAAAAAATTACATCAATAACTGACTTTTGAGAGAGAGAGAGAGAGAGAGAGAGAGAGAGAGAGAGAGAGAGAGTAGTTACTTCGTTGTGTAGTAGTTAGTTTACTTAGTTAGTTATTACGTAAGTAGTAGTACTACTACTTACCTTTACCGTTTACCGTTACGTTCGTCGTCGTAGTTAGGTTAGGG